TATATATAGCTGGCCGACGATAGATCTATGTGTTTATGAGTGTTTATAAGTAGTGTAGTTTAAATATGTATACCACAATTGTTATAGACTGTACCGTATACCGCATTTTTATAAAGAATCTACACAACAAATTTTTATATAGAAACCTGTTTTTTCTCTCTTTCTCAGAGCTGACGTCATGAACGCGTGTGGTCAGGATGCGGCTTAGCCGGGCCATCAAGGTAGTGACAGTGTTGGGCATCTGCTCATCCGTGATCACTATCTGTCTCTGGTCATCCTGCAGCGCGCGACAGAGCGATGGCTTTGACCGTGGGTGAGTGTGTATGTCTGTTTGTTTATTTGTTTCTTTGTTTTCTCTCTCTCTCCTCTCTCTCTCTCTCTCTCTCTCTCTATCTCTCTCTATCTCTCTCTCACCCACTCACTCACTCACTCACCCCTTTATATCACTCCCTGTGATCACTATCTGTCTCTGGTCACCCTGCAGCGCGCGACAAAGCGGTGGCTTTTACCGTGGGTGAGTATGTATGTGTGTGTGTTTGTCTGTTTGTCTATCTATCTATCTTATATAAATATACCGTGTTGGTAAAGTTCTGTCACACCCAGTTTAAAAGTATGATAACTCATTTACTATTCAACATAGCCATGAGAAATTTGGTACACATGGTCTGTATTCATTTTCTGCCAACATGACATGAAAAGAATTGACCAATGTTATTCCTAATTCAAGAGCCGTAGTTTTATACACACTGACCCTGGCAAAATCCAAATCAACTTTTGCTGAGTATTGTGTGTACCCTCTTCCAGCTTGACCTACTGATACAAAATGTCTGTTCATTGACTGAATTAATGTCCTTGTGGTTGCCTGAGGAATCCTCTGCCATTCCTTGTAAAGTGCACCCTTCAGTTCTTGACAAGTTTGAACAGAGTGCAGCCTGTTTCTAATCCTCCAGTCAAGGTCATCCTAAAGAATATGTTCTGTTGGGTTAAGAATTGTTGATCTCTTGTAATACCTCTTCGGCACTTCTTATATGACCTTATTGTGCTGCAAGTGCGGTAAAACTCTTACTAAAACAAAACAAACAAACAAACAAACAAACAAAGAAATAGACCAACCAACAACCCCCCCATCTGTCAACCCCTCCCT